ACTTCACCGCTGCGGCCTTGCCGCGCAGGTTCCTCTCTGGTGCGCCTGCGTCAGGTGCCTCTGCTTCCCCGGGACAGGCGTTTCAGAAAAGTTGTGGGGTGGCTGACGTAGGACTCTCCCCTCACACTGGATTGTCACACTTTTTTATTCTCAGCTAAAGCCATACCCTGAATCTGTGGTGGAAAGTTCGTTTTTTGTAGAGAGAATTTTTTTTCGGCTACTGGATAGCCGGTTCAGTAATTAAGAGCGCAGGGTGCTCTTCCAGAGGACCTGGAGTTCGATTCCCAGCATCCACATACCAAGGGATTCCCACACCCTCTTCTGGTGTCCCTGCTCTTCCAGAGGACCTGGAGTTCGATTCCCAGCATCCACATACCAAGGGATTCCCACACCCTCTTCTGGTGTCCCTGCTCTTCCAGAGGACCTGGAGTTCGATTCCCAGCATCCACATACCAAGGGATTCCCACACCCTCTTCTGGTGTCCAGAGGCACTGTACGCTCAGGGTGCACAGTATATATGATTTCTATTTTTTGCAAGAGTGTGCTTTGCATATATATATGTTGAGACGGAGTCTTATGTAGTCCAAGTTAACATTATGTAGTCCATGAACTCATTATGCAGCTGAGGATGAACTTGACTTTCTGATCCTCCTGTCTCCACAACGTAAAGTGTTGGGATGACAGACATGCACCACCACCCTTTTTTTAAAACAATTTTTCATACACTATATTTTGAACGTGTCCCCTTCTCCCCTGCCAACTCCCAGATCCTCCTCAGTTCTTCCCACCCATCAAAACAAAAAACCCAAGATCCCCAAAACAAAATAAAAAGTACACAAAAATACCATTGAGTTTTTCTGTTGGCTACTGTTTTCTATTAACTACTCCCGGGCATGGGGGCCTCCCCTGGAATGTAGTTGATATACCCAGTGAAACATTAATTATGCATGTCTGTGTATACGCATGCGGGTACCCTGGGAGTCCTGGAGCTGGTGAAAAGGAACTCATATTCTCTGGAATAGTAGTACACTTTCTGAAGCCATGAGCCATCTTTGCAGCACCCCAAGCTTAACTAGCACTTGGGGCTCCATCCCAACCTTACATGATAGCAGGACAGAGTTTGACAATACATATAACATAGCCAGAAGGTTGGGACTCTCGAGCAGGTGCCTCTTTTACTAGGGTGAGTGTAGGGGAGTTGGAAAACGTGGCCTCAGATAGAGTGCATTGGTAGAAGCAAAACAGGTTTGAGAGTCAAGTTCAGCGCTGCCCAGCTTCTGTCCTCCTTCAGCTGGCTGCATCCCAGCTCTTGGGCTTTCAGCAGTTTCTTCTCTAGAGGTGCCATTTGCTCATCTGTAGCATTCTGTTAACCTTTCCTGAAGATGCATTTTAGACTGTCTTCACCTTAGGTAGGGCACCGATGACAACAACAATGACTAGATACAATAGACCAAAGTTCCACCGAAATCCAGCAGACAGAACCTAATTAGCTTTAATTAGGGTCATTTACAGGAGCACTGGGGGTGGGTAGAGAATTACCTCCAGGTGAGTGAGCAATTATGGGCAGCACTGAAGAAAAGCTCCGACCCCCAGTAATCACTGCTACTCTAGCCTCTGGAAAGGACAGGGCTTAATGGGTCTTGAGAAGTTGGAAAGGTCTAGGGGGCCATTTTGTCAGCTGCAAATGAGCTTCTTGTGCACTGCCTCGTCTTCACAGGCTTTCAGAGCAAATGCTTTATCCTCTGAACTATTTTCCAAGATCCTCAAATTCTGTACTTACAATAGATCATTGTCAGTGCTTATAACATTATTATCCTCAAATACTAGAAACAAATCAAATATCCTTCAGTTGGATGAATGAATCCAAGCACGTTATTCAATGGAAACTATCCATAGGAATGGGAAAAAGAAAAAAAGGGGGAAAAAAAAGTAACAAAACACTAGCACACAAAACTACATGGAATCTCAAAAGAGTAACGTGGAAAGAACAACAATTTCCCTTTTCATATATATGTGGTATACATGTGTGTGCATGCTCACATGAGTGTATGCACACGTGCAAATGGGTGTGTATATGAATACATGTGTATGCGAAGGCCAAAGGATAACATTGGGAATCTTGGGGCTGGAGAGATGGCTCAGAGGTTAAGAGCACTGACTGCTCTTCCAGAGGTCCTGAGTTCAATTCCCAGCAACCACATGGTGACTCACAACCATCCATTATAAGATCTGGTGCCCTCTTCTGGTGTGCAGATATACATGGAAGCAGAATGTTGTATGCACAATAAATAAAATCTTAAACAAACAAACAAACATTGGGAATATTCCTCAATTGCTCTTAACCATATTCTTTGAGGCAGGGTCTCTCAACAAAACCCAGGGATTTTTGACACCTCTAGCCTAGCTAGTTCCTGCCTTGCTCTGAAGATGCCATCTCTGCCTTCAGAGGCTTGAATTACAGGTGGGATGCCACACCTACCTGGCATGTTCTGGGGGCACTGGACACCTGAACTCCAATCCTCTCAATCACTGAGCCATGTCTTCAGCCCCAAGGGCTATCTTTTAAATAATCCTATTCATAATACATTTTGGAAATGGCAAAAAACTAAAGAGAAAATAGATTAGTACAAGTTGGGCATGCAAGCACTTGCCTGTGAGGAAGCTGAGGCAGGAGGATTACTTGTGAGGTTGAGGCCAGTCTGGGCTACACAAATAAGACCATGTACATTAGTAGTGGTTTCTACGAACAGAGGGCATAAAGAAGTTGACTAGGATGACAGGCAAATGAGAGTTCTATATTTTGACTGGTCCAAGGGGAGAGTTGTACTGAAGGGCTGCAGAGAGGAGGGGCATTTCAAATCTGGAACCGAACTCCTGGCCTAGCTGGGTGACATTTCATTTTCAGACAGGGTCTCATTATGTATCTAGAATTCACCATGTAGATCAGGCTGGCCTCAAACTCAGACAGATCCCCCTTGTTTTTGTCTCCTGAGATTAAAGGTATGCCTGACTATGTGTCATGAGTACCAGTGGGTACAGGCAAGGGGTCCAGTGCTGTGTCCTCTGAGGCAGGTGCTACCAGGCCAACAGTCCAGCTTGAAGGAGCCTGGGCTGCCTGATCTGAAGCTTACTCTGTTGCATGGCAGCTTTTCCACTTTGGACAAGTTGCTCTTGGTGCCTCAGTTTCCTATTTCTATAAAATAAAGCTAACACTACCTAGTGCACTGGGCTACCATGAAAATTAAACAAGGCAGTAATGTTAAAAGGATGGAGTCTTTCACAGAATGAGATGTCTCCTAGTGCTCCATTTCAGAGATGAGCAAAGCAAGGAACTCCAGAGCTTTCTGCAAGGGCTCAGGTGACCATGGCACTTCCTAGCTATCCTCAAGTGGGAGGGATAGACAGGACTCTTCAGGCCTCATTTATAAGAGCACTAATCCTACCATAAAAGTTTCTTCTGGTGACCCAATCACCTCTGCAATATCTTCACTGTAGCAGGGAGGGGTTATCAATGAAAAGTCACATTTATCCTGTAGTGGTGGTGTTCTGGCCCTGAGTCTGGTACTTCACTCACAGGCTGGGCTAGGTTGAGCTTGGCCTGGTCCAGCTTGCTCAGCGCTTTGGAGCCATCTCTACGCTGATTCTGGTTCTTTCTACTGGAAAATTTGGATCTGGTTTTGTCCTGGCCCCAAGGCCCTTCCGCCTTTATATTAGAGGGAGGACCACACAGGTGAGTCTGAGAGGTTGCTGTCCACCCATTTATATGGGTGCCCAGAGCCCAGAAAGGGGTCCGTGACTCCTGTAGGTGTCTGGAGAATGGACGAGGAGAATGTTGGAGCTTGGGACAAGGTTCCATGTGAAGGAGCAAAGGGGACAGTGCTTGGCCTGTGAAGAGATGGTGGTGTAAAGCAGGCAGCTCAGAGAGCAGGTGCAACCCAGGGAGCCTGACTGGCTGGGTCTCTTGGTTCCTGGAAACCCAGTTATCCTAACTGATCTCCCTTGGCAGAAATGAGGCGCAGATACTGGCCAGGGTCAAGGTGCTGTCTGTCTGCAGTCCAGCTTGACCTCCTACAGAGGGGAGAGGGGAAGAAGGACTCAGGATGCTTGGTACTGGAATTGGGGGAAAACTGTGTAAGGACCAGGGAGTGCTTTGCCTTATCTGCCATCTTTAAGAGCTGGAGACTTCCAGATTCAATATATCTATAACCAGGGACATTCTTTTCCCGGTGTGGGGCTGATCTGGCATCTTCCCAAGGGTACCCACTGGTTCTGCTTTCTGCTTAGGCTGTTGGAGTCTAGCACACAGTAGGTACTCAATAAATGCTTGGGTGTGTATTTGGGGATAACTACTTGATAGATAAATGAGTCAATCTCTTCCCCTACCAGGAGAGGCAAACTGGTTTATATATCTGAGCTCTTTGCTCTGTGTCCATGGACAAGTCTCACCTTCTCATCTGGCCTGTTTTCCTCTGAACCATGAGGGAGTTGCTATGGTATCCACGGGGTCCTTTATCCACCTTCCTTATCTTTATCCTGATGAGTTATGAGCAGTTCCCTACAGGCCTGCCCTGGTAGCCGTAGCCTGGCATGGCCCAGCCCCACAGACTTCTTAGGACAGGGTAGGCCAAGCCAAGCAGAGACAGGTCTGTTTGGGTAGCTCAGGGTCCTGAGACAAAAAAAAAGCAGCTCTATTGCCTTCCTGCAGAGACACTTTGAAGATCAGTGTTTTAGCTCTGGCTGTAGCAGAGCCAGTCCCTGGTTACTGGGCCAAGTTTACATTAGAGTGGGGAAGAATAGAGCTTGGTAGATATAATGAGATGCCTCCTTGTTAGCTCCCATAGAGCTCCTGTCCAGGTAGGGTCTAGGCTCACTACATTCCACCTAGAGTCAGCTTAGGGGCCCCAGTGCCCCTCAAGAGTAGTAACAGCTCTGATCCAGTGCAGGGGCTATGGGAGGCCAAGGGATCCTGGGATCCCAACCTGGGTGGTATGGTAAGGGCAGCCAAGGATAATAATGGGTCCTGGTCCTCAGCCTAAGTGATCATAGCCATGACAAGGACCTTCTACCTAGTCAGAGCTACCAAGCCTGGCTTTATTTCCTCAGTTGATCCTACTAGGAGACAAGGTTCTTGGAGGTTCTCTGTGTACTTAGGACCAGCAAGGACTTGCATTGATCACATTACACCCAGAGATCAGCTATTTGCAGGAAACACAATGGTGGCACCCAAAGGATCATCACACAATAGGTATGCACAGGTATGGGGAAGAATGGCTGCTGGTCTTGTTCTGTTAGGTCAGGGAAAAGAGGGTGGCAGAACACCGAGACATGACCCTGAGAAGGAGTCTTGTGTACTGGATCTCGCCCAGTTTCAGCTGGTGTGCCCCAAAGGGGACAGGTCTATCAGCTGTGTGAACATGAGGGTGGATGCAAAGCAAAGGGCCTGTCAAAGCATGAGATCAACTGTTTATTGATTTTGTTGTTGTTGTTCTAAAATACTATACATTTAAAGGAATTTCTAAATGTTAAGGACTGTAGCATAGGAACAAGGTTTTCTGCTGGTAAGTTGTCATGACACACAGCCACAGTAAAACAGGGCGCTCTTGGCAAACACTGAAGAAACACGAATTGCTGATGTGCAACAGTGCACACTATCTGAGTTAACAAAATAAAGCCCCCCCCCCCCCCCCCCCCCCCCCCCCCCCCCCCCCCCCCCCCCC